GGGGGGGGGGGCACACTAAAAAGAAGATAATAAGTACATAACTATGGACCATTATTAATCAATCTTTAAACAGTATGAGTGCCACGGAGACATTTATGAGGGCTCTGAGTTTCTTCTTCTTCTTCTTCTTCTCCTCCTCCTCCTCCTCCTCCTCCTCCTCCTCCTGCTTTGCTTGTCTTGTCCTGTGTATGTGCACACGTGTTTGCAGGCATGCCTGTGTGGGTGTGGGTACACATATGAATGACACAAAGGCTGCTGTTCGGCACTTTCCTCTATTATTCTCCACCTTTTCTCAGACAAGGTCTCTTTGAACCTGGAGCTAGACTGTCTGGCCACTGAGCCTCACGGATCCATGAGATATCACACCTGGCTTTTCACATGGGATCTGGGGATTTGAACTCAGGTCCTCAAGCTTGGGCAGCAAGTACTGAGCTGTCTTCTCACCCCTGCCCATCCTGTTTTTATACAATAGCACTGAGAGCACTGTTGATCCTGAGTTGTCTCCGTGGCTGGGACACTTGCCATAAGGTGGTGGGGGTGGACCAGGCAGAAGCTGGAAAGCTTCATGGCTCATGTCTGACTCCCACAGGTGGAGACTCAAAATCTGACTCATTTTGGCAAAATCTCTGGCCTCATCATTTTCACTTCTGATATGAAAAGTAAGGGAGGGGCTTTGTCTGCATTCTTTCCAGCTACAGGCCTCTTCGGAGTGACAGAATAACAGAATTCCTTGTTGGCCTCCACTGTTTCACATGTGACCTCTGGGGTCATATCTCTCAATGTCACAGAGCAGGCCCCCTGGGGAAAAAAATCTTTAATTTTTTTTAAAGATGTATTTATTATGTATACAGTGTTCTGCACATGCCAGAAGCGGGCACCAGATCTCATTATAGACGGTTGTGAACCACCATGTGGTTGCTGGAAACTGAACTCAAGACCTTTGGAAGAGCAGCTAGTGCTCTTAACCTCTGAGCCATCACTCCACACCTCCCCTTTTTTAAAATATTTATTTATTTATTTATTACAGACACAGTATCCAAAACTCTAAACTTTTATTACACCTGTTTATTTACGCATTCATTCACTCATTTCTATGAGGAAGGCATACACACCCCACTCACTGTGTGCATCGGTGGTCAGAGGACAGCTTCCACTTGGTCATTTGGTGGCCAGTGCCCTCTGAACCTATGGGAAGGCCACACCGTCCAGGCTGCCCTGTGACGGAATGAGTTCTTCCTGGGCACTCATTGTGACACACCGAAGCCACCAAGGCTGAGACAGAGAAGTTGTCTCCTGCCATTGGATCGGCAGATCCTGAGGCACAAGAGTGCCAGGTGCTGAGTCCAGGGACTGCCACCCCCACCCTTCTCCTGGAAGTCTCCAGGCCAGAGATCAGAGTGACCCACTCCACCAGCTTATTCCCGTCACAACAACCCCTTTCTTCCACAGTCACGCGCCAGAAACTTCGGAAGCAGGAGGTCCTTTCTCAGCACGCATGCCACGCCAACCCTGAGGTCTATCTCATGCCATAGCCAAACCCTACCTTGGCCTTGGCTTCCTGGACCTCAGGGGCATACATTAAAGACGGATCAAGGTTCTGTAGGCACACATGTGCCCTGTGGGAATGGGGGCTGTGCTGGTGCAATCACTGTCTTGGTCTTGGAAGCCATCCTACTCGGGTGTGAAGCTCACCACTTAGGTGGGTGAGCGCCATTTACATCCATCCTGTGTGCCTTGGGTCCCTCGCACCATGCACGCTCCTCCCCCCCATCTCCCCAAACCAGCCTTCTCCTCCCCAGCTTTCCCAGTGCTGGGACTGTGCTGCACCCCCCCTCCCCAAGTGTTTGTGTCCCTGGCCTCCAGCAGCTGAAGGCCGGTGCCTGTGACAGCAACTGTCTCAACTTCACTGGCATCAGGGACTGACCCCTTGGGAGCAGCTCTGGGCAAGCCCCTCCAGTCTGTGCTCCTCCCTCCCACAGTGACCCTCACCTGACCCTGCACAGTGACCGAGGCACGGCTGGTGCCTCTCTGAGCGGCAAAGTGGCTCTTTCTCTGTATTTGGAGCCACTCCCATCCGAGTGAGCCATAGAGGTTTCTAAACCAGGCTGAACCCACCTGTCTCCAGCTTGTGGACCAATTACCAGGCAGATGCCCCCACACACACCTGTCTCCCCTCTGCCTCATGCTCCTCCCACATACTCATGGGTCCCTGAGGCACTATGACCCGAAGTCTCTGCCCCCTCCCCCAACCTCAGCCCATTTCTATTAAACGATTATTTATTTACTTATTAGGTAGGTCAAGCCATGGTGTGAGCGTGGGGGTCAGAGGACAATTCATGGGAATCAGTTCTCTCCTTTGACCATGTGGGTCCTGGGATCAAACCCATGACTTCAAGCTTGATGGCAAGTTCCTTTACCAGCAGAGCCATCTGAAGAAAAAAATAAATAAATGTATGTATATATATATACACATATTGATATATATTGATGTACATATATCTATCAAAAAATCCAAGCTTTCCTATAGGGCAGGCCAGTCTGGCCTCAAACTTTCTGTTACCAAACATGAACTTTGAGCTTCTGCTCCTCCTACCCCCACCTCCCCAGTCCTGTGCAATGCACCGCACTATGCCTGGCTGATGATGCATCACAGGGAATCGAACCAGAACCCAGGGCCTCATGCATGCTAGACAAGCATTCGACAACTGAGCCACATCCCAGCCCCAGGCTTTTTCTGAAATTACCATTTGTGGTTTTAATTTGCACTTCCCCCACAACAGTGCTCAGGCCTCACAAGGACAGGATCTCTGTCTCCCTTACTCTTCTACCCTGGGTCTACCATGACGTGGGGCTAGAAGACTGTCAGGAAGCATGGTCCCTGGAGCACTCCCTCCTTTAGGCAAGGGCACGACCCTTCATGTGGCTGTGGGGATGGAGAAGCGCCTGCTTTGGTGCCTGGTGCAGCCTGTGGCACAGCTTGCAGGTGCCCCTCCCTGGCCTAGGCATGAGAGGAAGCAGGTGGAAACTTCCTTCAGCTCAGGAAGCAGCCGCAGGCCGGGCCACACCCGGACTCTGAGCCTGGGAGGCTGTAGCTCTAAATATAGCCACAGGTTGTGCAAGGAAGCGGTGGCTTTGATTACCCCAGGGCGGTTCAGCTCTCACAGAGCACTCTCAGCCCCAGAAAAGAAAATGGGGAAATGAATTCCTCCAGTTGGGGCCTTCTTGTAAAGAGGAGGCTCACCGCAAGGCAGGGGTCTCTGGGTGCTGCCTGGGGACAGCTGGCACCATGTTCCGCAACTAAAGGCAGGGTTCACTGAGTGAGCCCTAGCCCCTCTGCTCTGGACCAGCTTGGAGTGTCAAATCAGGTGCTGTCTGCTGGGGTGCTTGGTCTCTGAGACAGGATAGACATTGGGGTGTAAGAAAGGACAGGAACCTCTCACTCTGAAGTCAGGTTGAATCCTCTTTTTTGAGACAGGGTTTCTCCAAGTAGCCTTGGCTGTCCTGGATTCACTTTGTAGATAGGCTGGCCTCGAATTCACAGAGGCCACCTCTACCTCCTACCTCTACTTCCCAGAGTGCTGGGATTACAGGAGTGTGCCGTCACACCCGGCTCAGAGTGTATCCTCTTGAGGACAAGAGTCCTGAATTCCAGCAGTCACTTGGTCATGGTGGGCGACTTAATCCAGCTTAATCCCAGCACTCAGGAGGCAGAAGCAGTGGATATCTGAGTTCGAGGCCAGCCTGGTCTACTAGAGTGAGCTCCAGAACAGCCAGGGCTACACAGAGAAAACCCTGTCTTGAAAAAAACAAACAACAACAAAAAGAATTTCAGCAGTCAACATTATTGACTGTGAAGGAGGTTGCCAGCATTGAGGCTTTTGTGTCCAAAGTGGCCTCCCCCAAACAAAAAACAAACAAACAAACAAGTGACCCAGTAGTGCTGGGGACAATGTCAGGATTATTATTGTATAAACAGAGGCCTAAAGATGGGTTTCCATTTACCAGGAACCTCCCTTAATCCTCCCCAATGGTCAACTACCTTGGGCAACGGGCATCTAGTTCCAGGTCAATCAGAACAGCCTGTAGGATCTTGAAGACTCCCACCCTGCTGACTATCATTTAAAATCTTCTTGTTTTTGCTTTTGCTTCATCATTTTGCTCTGTACCCAGAGATAGCCTTGGAAATCTGATACCCAATAAACCTTCTTGTATACCATTGAAGGGTCCAGTTCAGTGGTTTGCCCCTGCTTAACGAGGCAGATCTCTTTTATATTTATTTATTTGTGATGGTTTATTGTTGAGACAAGCAGTGCAGGCTAAGCTGGAACTCTCTCTGTAGACCAGGCTAGCCTCAAATAAACAGATTTTTGTCTGCCTCTGATTCTCAAGCATGGGGATTAAAGATGTGTGCCACTACATCTGACCTTTTCTTTTTCCATTGTGTGTAGATGAGTGTGTCTATGTGTGGGTGTATATGTGCATGAGTGTGCAGGTGCCCTTGGAGTCCAGAAGAGGGCGTCAGATCCCCTAGAGCTAGAGTTACAGGTAGTTGGTCGGGAGCTGCCCAATGTGAGTCCTAGGAACTGGACTTGGGTTGAGTATAGCCAACTCCTTTATGAGGAGTAATCTTAGAACATGCTGGAGATCTAAAATGTTTACAATACACACATCCTCCCTTTCCCAGCAGTCCCTGTGACCAGGATTTCACCTCAGCAGTGGCAATCCCGTGAACCGATGCTCAGACCCTACCTTGATCTCACTTATGCCACTCAAACACTCTTTGAGAGGGAGCTTCAAAAGCCTCCAAATACTATACATGGCTACTGTAAAGACACTTCATCAAAGAGCTGAGGAGATAGCTCAGTGGTTAGTAGCAACTGGCTGCTCTTCCAGGGGGCCTGGGTTCTATTCCCAGGACCCAAATGGTGGCTCACACTATCCTTAACTTCAGTTCCAGGAATTCAATACCTTTTCTGCCCCTGATGGCCCCTCTACACACATGGTGCACATATACTCACTCAGGCTCTCTCTCTCTCACACACACACACCTAAAAAAATTAAATACACTTCATTGCATCTGTCTCTTGAGATGTATACACCCAAGCTTTGGGGAAGTGTGCTGCTTTTCCTAAGTACACCTTGGCTCTCTTCTTATCCCCATGTGGATATCTAAATTAAAATCTCTTAATAAGCTTTTTTCCTCTCATTTTATTTATTTATTTATTTATTTATTTATTTATTTATTTATTTATTTAATTCTACACAGGGTTTCTCTGTGTAGCCCTCACTGTCCTGGAACTCACTAGTGGTGAGCAAGAAGCCCCAAAGAGTCTATGCAGCCGTTTATTTATTCAGCTGTTTATGGCAGAAACAATGAGCCCTGAATGCATGAACGGTGCATGCCAGAATCACCACCACACTGGACAAGGTTGCACCCTCTATTCCTCATGGTCCAGGACATGTGGACAGTCACACAAAGTCACATGTCCATGGAGCATGCAGCTGTGTCCTGCAGAGCCAGCCAATGCAATAGCCTTGAGAAGACTGTCTGCAACAGAAAATCATGAATCCTGTCCACTGAGTGACCTTGCTGGTGTCACCTCTCTGATTCTTGATCCTCTTCTCCAAGCAGAAAAAGGCTGCCCTGCGAGCCTAAGAAAGGATGTGAAGTCCAGCCCAGCTTCACAGAGCTCCTGGGCAGGCACCAAGTTCATTTGCCTGGAAAGGAGTGTGCTCTCCCCAGCTGGTAGAAGGGCCGCTGGGTCAGGAGGATCCCAGGCAGGCTGGGGACCAGGCGTCCTTCCTGAGGGATTTGTGGGGATTGGGGGAGTGGCATGTTCAGTGGCTGGTTCCTGGGCTGTGTCCTCAGGTCACCTGGGGCGGTACCAAGCAGGCTGGCCTATACCCAAGAGCTTGTCCCAGTCTGGCCTGTGACGCCGATGGTGGGCAGTGGCCTCTTGTGGAAGGGAAGGTCCCCAGCCGGGTCTTTGGTGTTTTCAATCTGAGTAAATCTTGGGAAGGAAGGGGGCTTCCCCTACCAGCTTTCAGGGGCTTTCAGAGAGCTGGGTTGAGCAGGGACCCTAGGTTTAGCAAGGAGACCATGAACAAGTAGGAAGCTCTGGCTGTCAGGGGCAGAGTCCTTTGAGAACTGTCATCTCTCTGGGCTTTCTCCCTGGGTCTCTGGGAAACCAGAGCTACCTTGTGTTACACTGTCATTTCTGCCTGGGCCCCACTGAGTCTCCAGTCTTCCTGGCTCCCCTTGCCAAGTTTTAACCACAGAGGATTTCCCTCCTGATCTTCCTCTCACTGCCTCTGCACCCCAGGACTTCCTCATTGCTGAGCCCTGGTCTGGAATGCTGTTCCCTTTGGAAGACTGTGCTTACCACCACCACAGCATGCTTGAAGCTGCTTTGGGCAAACCCTGGCCCCGGGGTTTGTATATGTGACTCAGTGTTCTTTTGGCCAAAAATGTCTAAAGGCCAGGCTCAGTAGAACTGTGCAGGAAACACATCCTGACACCCGTGGTGATCCA